CTGCTCAAAAATAAAAGCTTGTTAAAACTCCAGCAGGCTCCTAATTGTTTTACCAGTTAACACTTTGGGAAGTGCTGAATCATTTCCCACAAACAGAGCCCAAATTCAAGTCTTGGGAAATTTAATGATTTAAGGTCAAGACTTGACATAGATCCCAGCTCTTTATTATTATTAATTTACTGTTCATTTACTGGTATTATCCTCCTCCTCCTCCTTGTTATTATTCTGTGGCACTGCAGTTTGTGGTGGGCGAGTCTTCAGCTCCAATTATTTTTGATATAGTACATCAGCTTACGGTTTCCAACCAGAAGATCCGCACAGCTCGCACAGCATCCTCTGCTGCCCTACACAGAGGCCCTGTACCATTAGGACAGCAGTGCTGTTGACTGCCGGCGTGGCCAGAGAGGCACCCAGGGGTGCAGAGCTGCTGGCTCTACAGGTGAGCTCACCGCACGGTGCTGATCACGGCTCGCAGCCCTGGGTTAGAGCCTTTTCAGGGTGGCCAGGAAGGGTGAGAGAAACACCTGGAGCAGAACCATGACACGGAAGGACACAACCTGGACTCCGGGCACAGTAGCTTCCCATTTTCTCATTTTGCTCCTCGAAGGAAACAGCTTTCATGCCGCACGCTTAGGAATGAGCTCATTCAACAGAGAGCACTTAGGGGAAGAGATTTATTGATTATTCCTATTCTGAATTTTTTGTTGATTTTTTTTCTTGCCTTCTTTTTCCTGAGCTTCTGCCAGTATTAACAAGCATTTGTTTGGATTTTTAGTCCTCTCCAGCCTGCTGATATCCTAGGTCACAAGGATTTATGTCTCGTTTTAGCGGAAATCCCCCACTCTCCCACAGTATTTCAGAAATCCAGTTATTTGGCAAAGTTTGTTCTCCACACTTGCATCAGCCTTTTCCTCCCTTCCTCACTCCCTCTGGAACTGGGGTCACCCCTGACCACACGAGAAAAATCGTGCCGGGTCAAACCATCTCTTGAAGCAGTAAAGCAGTGCAGCCAGTCTGAGTTTAGTGTACTTCGGACTACGGGTTGACACCTAAATAAGCTGCTAATCAATCAAAGCCAAGAGTCTATGGAGATGCCAACCTCAATCTTTGCAAGCTGGGAAGCCCTCCTAGGCGGGCTTTTCCCTACCAATTTTCGTTAGCTGGACTGGGTACTGAATGTTGACACCTTGAAGGTGAGGGCTCCGACTTGGCTCTGCCCGGGAAATCACAGTCTGTAGATGAGCTGGGCCACCACCACCCCACCACCCCCCTCGAAGTTTTACTGTGCAGCTCAAATCCATGCTGCTGTCTGCAAACCCCTATGGGAGACCCACCACCCCACATGGTCCAGCACTGTCCTGATGGTGGTCAAGCTCTGCTCCTAATGGGCTCAAAAGCTGTGGGGAAACAAAAGCTATGTCT